GGCAGGTATGTGGTAGTAAACTATAAAATAGGTTAGTAGCTACATGGATTTCATTTATTTCTGATACATCTAACTTTTTTTGTTAGTAAGATTTTCCAAATTTTTGCATATCTCCAAACAGTATTCAGATATATTCAGTGAAAACAAATATGCATATAGCTGCATGGACTAAATGAACATAACACACACATAAAAATAAGCATATAATTAACAAAGAATTGCACAAGAACTGATGTAACATTTCATACACATCGAAGTCCCTTCATCTCATGTTCTCAATTTAGGGAACAAAATCATAGTTAAATTCGCCTATATCTTGTAATTCATTCTTTGAAGAAACTGGCATCAAATTAATTAATGGGAAGATAAAAAAAAAATACTCAAAAACACAGTCAAACCTACAATAATAATTATGCCTTAACAATGCAACAATAACAACAGCGAACTTACAATATAGACTTAGAACACTAATAATATTAATAACCAACTTACAACAGTTATAATCAATAAGTGGATAAATGGTTGATCTAGATCAGTGGTTCCAAAACTTATAATGCCCTTGGACCCCTTCTTAGAGCAAACACATGACCATGAACCCCCCAGCAAAATAACTATATAGGTGCATAAAAGAAAAATTATAAATTTAACTTTGATGTTTTAAATGGTTAATGGTGATGTAAAAATAAAAATATAAATAAAACATTTTGATATTAAAAGTAACATTTATTGAATTTATAACTTGTTTTAAAATATAAAAACACATTTTTTCCCCCTTCATGTGATGGGTGAACCCCTGATGAGATGATACGAAATTATTTATGTTCAGTTCTGTGTTTGTTAGTAACATTCATAATTCTCCATTTTCTGATGAGGTTCATAACTGCACTAAATCCCTGTTCTATTAAATAGAAAATTTTGGGCAAGCAATCAATAGCTTTTCTAAAGTGACCCATAATGCAGGATATAAATCTGGTATCTGTTTTTTAATTAACATTTGTAATATCCTTGTTCAAACATTGCCGTCAGCTGCTTATTTGTGAATAATTCAATAAATTTCCCCTGTATTAGTTGCAAAACTACTTGCAAAAGGGCTCAACACTCAATCCTGAATAACCAAGAGAGGAATGTTTTTAAATCATTGGCTGGGGTCAGAATGAAGAGCTGGCTACGTGTTGATAATAAGCAAGCAAATTTGCACCTCGTTTTTGTAATTTTGAAGGATTTGGAAACAGAGCATTCTCTTCTCTCCGAATTTGGTTTGTATATGAAAAATTTTGCAACACATGCACAGAATATTATATAGTTTTTATTATGTTTAATTGATCACCTGAAAAAATTGCTTTCACTAAATTTGGCAAATTAGTCAGTCATATAAGCTATGTCATTTTTTGAATTAGAGTGAGCAGCATACCATTACCTTTCATTTCCAGGAATTGCAACACTGAATCAAAGACTGCATAAAAATCAATCTAAACATGGACTTAGATAGCTAAGGAACTTCTGAAATAAGTAGTAAACTAATCAACTAATCAACATTTTCCAACCAAAGTGAAATAAATAATCTCTTACTTAATCCTTTTGATTTTATTAACTAGTTTAATGACATAAACTAATGAGCCATGCAAGCATTCTCCAAGATTTTTGGCAAATAAATGTTGACGATGAATTACAGATAATACAATCGTTATAGCTTGTGTCAAGTATGCCAGAAAGCTTCAGTGTCATCCTACCATTGCTGGTGCACTATCAGAAACAATGAAGACGCTATTACTCAGCATAGTTTTTACATCAAAAAATCTTTTTCATTAATTAAGCATTGTTTTTCCTTTCATTTGAGTTTCCAAACACTTTGATAAATAATGGTTCTTGGGAAATTTTTTCTTCTTCTCTTACAAATCTTTCATAAGCTAAAAGTAAAGTTTTGTTTCCTGGCAAAGTTAACTCATCAAGCTATACAGAGAATTCAGACTTTTTAAGTAATCCCATAAAGAATTTTCTATAAATTGATCCATTCTGCCAGTCTTTTTTTGTACTGTATTATTACGCATTGGAAGTTTACTTATAATATCAAAACTGATTTACACAGCACAGTGCATATTACTTCATTTACAGCTGGTAAAATAAGTTCATTAACTATGTGTGGCTTTCTGACTTTGCAATCAGTAAAAAAATGTTATAAGAAGAATGTAGTCCACTGCCATCCCTCTTAGTTGTTGTCGCAAAAACTGAGTTTTCAATTTTTCCCCTTGATCGTTTTAAAAGAGATAAATCTTTATCTTTCTTGTCACTATGGACTTGTTTCTCAAATGTTTCTTATGCTTCATTGATTCATTTGATAAATTTTATTGCACAGAAAACACACAGGTAAAATACGATATCGTGCTGATAGACTACAGCCGTGTTTTAAATATTTAAAGTCTATGCTGTCTATATTTTTTCTTCTATCTGTAAAAAAAGGTACAATTTGTATTACTTCACTCATGATATAAAAATTACTTCCAATTTATTTCCTTTTGTTTTATTTTACTAATGACATAAATTGCTTCAAGTTTATTTATTGCTATTTAGTTTAACTTTCACAATAATGAAAGAGGGTCACAATTACTTTAGTTCATACTATTAAACCATTCATGCCCTCCCAACATTGTCCACGCACCCTCAAATTTATTTTAATTTGTTACAGTTTCTCTCAATGGTCATAAGGACCCCTGGGGATCTGTAGGAGCCACTGATCTAGAAGTCAGACTATTCAAGCTTCACACAAGAAATTGTTAAAATTCCCCTTCTATGAATATTTTAGCTCATGCATACTCTAAGACATGTTATCAAAACTAAACACTATTTTCAGTATGAATTACTTGCTCTTGGAGACTGCTAATCTCTCGAAATACAATGATAATATAAAAGGCAAAATTTGCCAATTATTATTACACAATCAGTTTCAACACACTGCTTTTCCAGTCAGCTAAGGAGCAACATAACTTTTAAATGACACCATGGCTTCAAGGTTAAATAGCAAATGCATCAAATTTTGAAATTCTGCTAAGTTATATTTAACATGAAAATAAAGATTAAACATTTGCAATCTTGTTTAAATTCCTCTTTACAAGCATAAAACAACTAACTTAACAGAAGGAAATGTTTGCTTAGTTGAATACAGCAAAGCACAACAGTTAAGATTGATGCTTTCTTGGAAGATCTTTTACAGAAAATTTGTGCATGAGTTACACATGAGAAAAACCACGAAAACAATCATGCAGCCAGGCTAGTTGTGAGAATTCAAGCCTCAGTTGAACTACCAGCATTCAGTGGGCTTATCCACTATTAGAGATTAATTAGAGTTCTCAAATTAGATAGAATTAAAATAACAATAGAAGACAGAACACTAAGAACTCTTAAATAAAGTTCAAATAGAGTTCTTAAATTAGAATGACATTAAAAATGGAATTTACTCTCACTTTCATTTGTTAAGAGATTCATTAAAAAGCGCACATCGATTTTTGTTTGCTTCATAACTATAGATCAACACTGACATACTTTACAATGAACCTTAACACAAGAATCCATTTTTTTTAAAACTTTTCTTTTGATGATTCAGAGGAAAATACATGATCTGCATGATACATGATATGCGGAAAATACATGATACATGAACACAGATTTTTGCTGCCTATGTAAAATGTCAGTTTGTCTTACTTTACAGTACAGATGCCAATATATTAAGCATCTCAGGTCAACATGCTACTGCAATTTTTGAAGAGAGTTTTCTGCAATAACTGCCTTGATACTTAACAAACCATGTATCAAATTTGATTGTGGAGGCAAATATCTATCTTATTTTTATCTATTTATTTACTTCATCAAATTGGGTGATGCAAAAATCTGAAAATTTTAATCAACCCGAAAAATTCTTTTTTTCTTCTTAATCTTATATATATGTATATATATTGAGTTCGTAAAAAAAAAAAAAAAAAAAAAAAAAAAAAAATTCAGTTAGAAAAATGAAGAGGAATTTAGCTCTAGCACTATGGAGTACTCTGCAGGATAAGCACGGTAATCTGTGAAAACCAGTAAACATGAATCCAGTTTAATGATAATTATGTTTCCATGTGTTATTAAAAATTACATTTTCAGTCTACTTCATTCAAATTTATTAATATTTATATATTATAGTTACATACAGCAACAGGTAAATATTTGGATAACTTAATCGTTTGAGTCCAGCGAGCGCTTCACATGTCGTATGCCAAAAATACGGTGCAGCGCGATAATGCTTCTCTTGTTTTGTATCGAGAATGCGAAGACACTGCTGTTGGTTAGTATACTTTACGCAATTATTGAGAGCAGTTATAGTGATATCAGTAGCAGTTGTTTTATAGGAATTGGAAATTGTTTTCATTCTTTTTTTACCAAGTGTTATAGTGATACTTATGAAATAACCCATGTCAAGTTCTTCATTTGAAAGTGACTATGTTATGAGAAGTGATAATGAAGAGTATAGTAATGACCTTGAAAGTGATAGTGGAAGTGACATCATCATTCGTTCTAAGAGATTACGAGTTATTAGTGATAGCAGTAATGATGATGAAGTAACTGCAAGTATCTCTGATGATGATATTATTGATGAGTTTTTACCCATGGCTACAATTTTTTCGAACGAATCGAATACTTTTCTGAAGTACCTGGACCAAAGCATGCCCCTCCTCCTGATGCGAAACCAATTGAATATTTCAATAATTTTGTTTCAATTTTCAATAATTTTTTTTCAAGCATACTAACCAACAGCAGCGTCTTCGCATTCTCGATACAAAACAAGAGAAGAGCTATCGCGCCGCGCCGTATTTTTGGCATATGACAAATGACGTGCGATAGCGCTTCGCCGGACTCAAACAGTTAATATAATCAAAGAAAAAAAATGTAAATATCACATCTTAAATATTTTGAAATACTACACTTCAACACACTACAGAAATATGATGTAAACAAGGGAAGTATCTCACCCTTTTGGATGATTCCTGGCTATTAATACCCACAGGCAAAGTAGCTCTATAACAATTTCAAAAATGAAAAACATCAATTTATCATTTTGATACATATGTGCACTAAATTTTGATTCATGGAATGGAATAAATATGATACAGAAAATTATTTAGGCTAGGAAGAAATGCAATAAATAAAATAAATGTGTTGTATTAAAAAAAAGAAAATTTTCAAAATTATTTCTGAAATATGCTTACTGCTGACAATACTTGTAATCATCATCTAAATCAGCTAAGCGCTCTGTATGTCCCCTGTAAGCAAGCACAGGGAGGAAGGTTAAAGGTTAGAGAGCAGAATTAAATTATTTCAAGCTTCAAGTCAACATAAACAGCAAGCCTGGAAAAAGCTACTGTAATGCACAGCGATTTCTGACTCAGAGAAGAGTCATTTAATAAAAGGCACAAGAATTATAACAAACCAACTATTGTTACAAAGTATTAGACAAAGGATTCTATTCATCTTTCTGCAATGCCTGCACAAAATGTACAAGTGTAAAAAAAAGCACTCATGTAATAACAGTAGTAACAAAGGAAAAAGCAATATTGTGAAGTTGGATAACACAGAAGTAGGATAACACATTACTAAACATAAAACTGATATATGAAAAGTGAGCTCATAAAATCCTTGCATGCAATTAGCAACCATTAATTAATTATTGCACAAGACAACAAAAATGATGAAGCTTTTGAAAACTATCATGAATTTATAGAATACTTTTATACACTTAATCACAGAAGAAATATTAGATAACTATGTTACATTTCATATTTCTTACTACAGATTAAAAGCTTCCTTACAGTCAATGAGAATTAGCAAAAAACACCCAAATTTCACTAAACTGTTAGCTATACATTTTCCTAATTAATATAATTATCGCTAACTGTGATGAATAGGATCACCAACTGAAAGCCATTCATTTGAAGAAATTCTTAAAAAGCAATTCCCAAATGCAAAAATAAGTGGTAACAGATTGTTTGCCTGATTACTTGGGGTATTAGGCAATTTAAATGGGATTCTAATCAGAAATGAAATTCCTCACATTGAGCATTAAGTGCCTTCAGCACACTGAAATGTTACAATATTTAAGAACAGATTATAAAATTAGTTTTACCTTTTCATAGTGTGAATGAATTATGTATTAGTATGTTTTTTGAATTTTTTTCCCCAAGATGCTTTACATTTCCATCAAGATCCATGATCTACACCAGGTCTAATATAACTAACTTATCTGTTTCTGTGGCATTCCCATTTTTTTTTTTTTCCAACTTTGCTTTTTTTAAAATACTTTTCCAGCTTTGACATTTTTAACCTTTGGTCTTCAATTTTATTTTTTTAAGTTTTGAAATCAATTCTAGATGATTAGAACTATCTTGCTGGACTAAAATATTTTAGTTTTGATAGGGCTTAATTAACCAGAAATATCTCATTAATAAATGAGACAACATTCTATCCACATTTCTGGCTAAAGGATATTGCCAAAAAATTACTTAAACAAGAAAAGGCATACTCTAATTACTAATACTTATTCTATAAAATAATATCTAAGAAAATATAAGCTAATAAAAAAATCTTGCAAAAGTCTTAATTGAGAACTGAAGAATGAGGCTAGGAAGATCATTTTATTTATTTATTTTTAGTTAAAGAAGAAAACTGTAATTTTACTAAAGAATTCTATATACGTATATAAACACAGTGACAAAATACATTATAGAAGTAACAGTCTAATCCATATTTTCAATATTTCTTTTCACTTATGTGAGAGGTAATGCCAAAATTTTAGAAGAATTTACCTGAAAAATATTGCAATTTTAGAAAATATAATAATCCTTAGGAAACACTGCAAAATTTTTACCTCATGTTTAGAAAAGTTAATTTAAAATGCTTTTTACCTTTGAGGGAATAAACTACCCTTCACAAGGTAAAAAACAGATTTATTTTAAAGAAATGAAAAATAAATATGTCAAATACAACTTAAGAAACTAATGTGCATTTTAAAAAAATGCATAAATAAAACAAACTCTTACTGTGTAAAATATCAGGCATTTAAAAAAAAAAAAAGCAAAGACAGTTCAATAAATTGCACTTTACCAATGTTAAGATAAACACAACTTCAACTTAGGCATAACAGGGAGAGCTCGCACTGACTTAAAAGGTTCTAGGCATTTCAAGACACAATCTGATACATGCCCATTTTCAAAACATGCATTATTATCTGTTAGATCAGTATCACACATATACAGCCTTTAATTTAAAACTAATGCCAATGTATGGTTAAAATGCGTAATAGTTGTACTTTCATAAATGCTTCACTTTCTAACCAGCACTTGTGGACTGTTCATTTAAAGAACAGTGCTGATTATATCATGGCAAAATCATTTACTAAATTCACTAAGATGTAAAGCTATTGGGAGGATAAGAATGCACTTACCACATTCTCAGAAAACATTAGCTTAGTCATAATGTGATCATGACGGTGTTAAATCAACCCCAGTGTAAAGAAATATTACAAAAGGGACTAGCACCAGTAACAAAAGAGCAGGATTTAATAATGCTACTTTTAGAAATATCAAGTATCAAATGAAAACTTAGCAATCAAATCTTAATCAATTTCAAAATCAGTGGGACTACCTAGAAAGAAAGTGGACAATCTTATGTCTCCAAGATTTTTAAATGAGTTAAAACAAAGGTCTCGGGTGCATATAGTCTTTATATTCCTGGGACATGCCTGATAAACTAACAATTACAATACATGTCATTTATAACATAGGGAATGTCCCTCAAGCATTTAAACTCTGTGACCGCAATATACAGTTATGATACATTGCAACTGACATGCATATGGCTGCAAATCATAATGACCTATAAGGTTGCTCTGAAGGAAAGGAAGAAAAGAAAGATTCCTTGAAAGAAATAATTTCATAATGCAATAGTTATAAACACATATAATTATTGGAACTTAATTTCTAATTATAAATATACTCACAACTATAGTTAAGTCTACATCATTACACAATATGCATCATTACACAACATACAAAGCAATACTTCAAAATATTTTGAGAGCCACCAAAAATTGTCCACATTTTGAATATCACTGATACAGAGCATTCATAATATAGGGAAGGCAGTACGAATTATTTCTGCAGTAGTTTTTATAATCTTTTTTCTTCAGACAGACATTTTTTCAAAAATCCTTACTATTTTGTAAATGACACACAAAGTTAAAAAAATGGATCAATGTAAACTAAATCAAACTTTATTCCTAAAGGCGCCAATTGTTTTTCAAAGGATTTTTTGGGTGCTGTATAAAGGAGTACTTTTTTTTACTTGAAATCTCAGCTTATTTTTTATCAAATTAAATATTTCTTCTATTCAAATAAAATGCATAAAAATGAAGGAAAACATGCAGGTAAATTTATAAATGCTACTTTTTTTACAAATGCAAATTAAAGTTTGCAAGCATGGAAACTACTAAAGAACAAGGACAGTAAGGTGCATACCTTTGCAACAGTTCTTCATCTACAACTTCCAACAGACTCCTATGAATATAAAATGCTTTAAGCTGCTTGTACTTGCAAAGCTATTCCTTTAATGTTAGCAACACTTAAAAAGTTAAGGAAATAATTCTACTTCAAGGAAGGAGGAAATAAGCAACATAAATGACAGAGGATTCTGCAGCCAGAAAAGCACAATTTTCATACATAATAATAAAAAAAAGGTTTAGAATTCAATACATACAAAAATGAAATTTCATAGAACTATCAAAATATACTTTCTACAGTTAAGCTCCCATTCATGTTGTGCTTTTATATTTCAACCTATATTTTACTTTCAACACGGGAAATTATAACAGTAACAACTATACAAATTATACTATGAAAATGCATTTCAAGCTTGAAAAGCTGTATTTCATGCACTGCATACTACTTGTTTTAATTGGTACTATTTACTATGAATCGAGCTGAATTCCAATTATATACTTTTAACACAGCTAAAATAAATAACTAAAGCCCACTGTTTCAAATACATGATTGATTTAATATAGCAAATGAAAATTATTACTAAAATCATTCAACATATGATTCATTAATTACAGGATTTCAAGATTATTCAGTCAAGTAAATTATTAGCTTCTGGTATTTGTTTTTACTGCGTTCTATATTAACTTGTGCTTAGATATTACAAAGCACTGCTTCTCAAACTTTTCTGAAAAGTTAAAACTCAGTTTTTAAACTGACAGGCTTACTAAGCATACTTAATATTTCCTTACTCTTTTAAAATATATGAAAATTTATTTAATACTGTTAAGCCTTTCAACTAAATTTACAAATAATTCATGTCTGTTACATGTTGGTTAAAAAACTATTTTAATTTTTAAACTATTTAAAACTCCTCAAACTAAGCAGACTTTGGAACATCCAAATGCAAAGGCAATCAGTTTCAATCTTAATATCTTTTAAATTTAATAAACATAACAGTAGTTTAAATACAAAAAATTTACAAACTTGCTGTTATTAACTTTACAGAAATTGTTGCACTTCACTGGGTAAAATATGCCTCTTTGGAGACTTAATGCTGTTTGCAGAAACCAACACTTTTCCTTATGTATCTTCTAAATCTTAAAGTCAAATGGCTGTATATAAGCATTAGTCTTTTCATTTATTTCATGCTTGATCTGCACACAAGAGGGCATGGCAGATCCATAGAAAATAGGGAAAAACTATTATGATAACATGACCAGTCATGCACAGGCCAAACATCTGATAAAGCAATGCTTTTGAGAAATGTTTCTATGGTATCCTAGGGGAGAGTTTTCTAAGAAAAACAGGCTTATATTCAATTATAAGGGGGGAGAAAGTATAAAGAATCCATGCATTCTGTCCTGCCTCTGCAAATAAAATCCATCAAGAAATATTACTACTTAGCAATTCCATCCACTCAGCAAAAAATAAGTTATCTACCACGTCACTTAAAATTTTAATACTTACCCCTCCCCCCCCAAAAAAAAGGGAGGAAAAAGAAAGAAAAGAAATATTTACGAGGGCTATCCAGAAACTAGATTACGTTTTGGAATAAAAAAATAAACAAAGTATAGGAAACAAATTTTATTATATACAGATGAAAGCCACACTCAAATACTACTTTTCTACATAGTCACCATACAATTAAGGCATTTTATCGTAGCGATGTACGAGCTTGGAAATTCCTTCGTCGAAAATTCGGCCGCCTGCGCCTTCAACCACTTCGTTTACCTCTTCTTGCCTTCCATCTTGCACAAAACTTGTGGTTACCAAGCTTTTCGCTGATGATTTCGTGCAACAAACTTCGGCGAAATTTGTGGAAAACTCAAAGAAAGTTCCGTTATTGTGAAATTTCGATTTTCACGGACTTTAGCATCGACTTTTTCGAGAAGTTCGGCGGTCACTATGCTGGGTCTCCCACTTCGATCTTCGTCGTGAACATTGGTTCGGCCATTTTGAATCTTATGACCCACTGACGCACTCCACCTTCAGTGATAATGTTGTCCTCATACACTTCACGAAAGCTGCCGATAGATTTCTATCGGTTTACAGTTTTTTGCAGTCAGAAACCTTATTACTGAGCGCACCTCGCAGCTCGCGGGATTTTCAATTAACGCAGACATTTCAAACCGTCACAGTATCTGAACGGAGCACAGCACGAACCTCTCACTAGCACGGCTAGATGCAGACTGAGCTGCGCAACGCTCTGACCCCAAGATGGCCGCGCTAGCCCCGCCCCTAGCGGACACAGACGGAAACGTAATCTACTTCCTGGATGGCCCTCGTATATCAAACAGCTGGAAATCCGGAATATCAGCATCAGAAATTTTTTAAATATCATTAGTGACAAATTATCACCATGCAAAAAATGTACAGGGGTGTAAGCATGTGTGAAAAGATATTATGGTTAAGATTCAAAGGACAACTTAAAAAAATACACTGACAAAGAACCAATATAAAAGTCTATAAGGCATTGTAGTTTCTATTAGTGTTATGTCACAGGAAAATGTAAAAATGTCAATGAATCACTTACTTAGTACACTTAGTTACATTTAAATGGGGGGGGGATAAATTCTAAGTAAACCATAAACACAACATTATGCATTAGGATTCGCAATACCTGCAGGTGAATGTACAGAAATTTCCATAACTAACTTTTATTATTCTAAATAACTACTAGGTCACAATGACACAATTAACTTTCTGTGAAATTTGATAATTATATATTCTTATTAACTTAATGCATTTTATGAAATACAACATCTGACATACACAACAATGCTATGAATGAACTGGGGTCATCCAAAAAGTTTTGCAGTTTTTCAAATAAAAATGTTCTTTTTTTCTAATTATTTTGTTACTGCTGATACGGGAGACCCTTGACTGAAATAGACTTTATAAACATGGTTTATTCCACTTATGTTGCATGATTCCAACACGAGTTGTGGCATATTTTTTGTTTCAGTGAATGAAGAATTTTGCTAAGAATGAAGGACTCAAAAGTTCATCATATCATGCTCCTCCATTAAAAAAAGTGATAATCAGATCTCCCATTAAATTTCTGTTATCTATGGAAAAAGTGCTGTTCCTGATGACACAATTTTTGTTTTGAGAAGTTTAAGCATGGATATTTCAGTATCCCTCTAAATCACCATCCACTTTAACTGCTTTCCTGATTATCCTGAGTTATCTCGGGTTCGTATATATTGCAGTTAATTATTATCCCGAGAAAAACTCGGCCGAAGCAGAATTTGTTAGTACGATTTCTTTTATTACGGTTTTACTCGGACTGGGGGAAATGAAAGGAAATATTCAGCTTTGATTGGCAGTTTGTCAAATTTTGTTGGTTGAGCGGCTTTTGGAGGGACTGGTCACGTGTTTCCCTATTGTATAGTATACATTGGCTTGTGGATTAGTAATGTATAAAGAAGGATGCATGCGTTGAAAAAAAATAAAATAATGACATTGATGCAAGACAGCGAAAGCAATGATTTTTCAGATAGTGATTATGAAGAGGTGGAAAAGAAATCAAATCCAACAAGACAGTGTACTCTGTGCTCCCATGAAAGAGATTCCATTGGTAAGCCAGTAAGAAAAGAGAACAGATATCAGTGTAGAATGTCAGGTTATCACTCTGTGTTGTCCCTCGTTTCAAAAACTATCATACAAAGATTAATATTTAACTTTTTTGTTTGCCCGAGATAACTCGGGATAGTAAACTAATATTAAAATTAAATGCTTTTACACCTTCAAAAAATTCAACTTAAAACCTACATATTTTGATTTGTTTTGTTTTGTTGTATTTAATAATAATAAAAAAAATGTGATGATTTTTTGCAATTTTTCTAAAAAAAATTTGTAAGGGAAGCGGTTAAGTTAATTTAAGCCACTGTAAAAGAAGCTCTTGCTGAAAAATCAAGTTATACATTTCAAGAACTTTCAGACAGAAGTATATGATAATCTGAAGAAGACTGGGCATTTAAACTGCTATGATGTATGGATACCCATACTTTAAGACAGGAGAATATGCTTGCTCAAGTTTTGGCATACAGTTTGTTGCTGAAAAAAAAAGAAGCTCCTATTTTTGAAACAGCTCATTACTGGATATGAGAAATGGATATTATACAAAAATTCTACTGGAAAAAGATCATGAATAATGCTAAAAGAACTTCAACAACATTGAGAGGGGGACTGCATCCCCCAGAAACTGCTTCGTGTATGATAGGATTATACAGAAAATAACCACAAACTGCTGCCACCAAATCAGACATTAAATTTGGAAAACTACTGTTCCCAACTGGATGTTTCAAAAACCAAAATTGAAGCAAAGTACCCAGAATTGACCAATCCTTGAGGTGATATCTTCTATCATGACATGTTTAACTTCATATTTTAATTAATGTCAAACAAAAACTTATTGAGTGCAGAAGAGATGTTTTGTGTATCCCCCAAATTCATTAGACCTTGCTTTCTCGGATTTTCTTGAATGGCTCCCTGAATGGCCTAGAGATCACTTCTCTGGAGACTGTAAAGCAGCACATCAATAACATTTTTACAAATAAAACCTAATGACATTTCTAAAAAAAGGAATTTTCCAACTGCCTCAGAGATGAGAAAAAATCATAAAATAAATTTATGTTTATGTGAATCAAATGAAGTTCCCAATATTTTTATATTGCTTCATTTGCATTTATCATCAAAAACTGCAGAACTTTTCATATGACCCAATAAATGACACAAGATGTTCTGTGTATCCCCCAAATTCATTAGACCTCGCTCTCTCGGATTTTCTTGTCTTCGGTCACTTCAAAATTCCCTGAATGGCCTAGAGATCACTTCTCTGGAGACTGTGATCTCTAGGCCTAGGATCTCTAGGTTACATTTTTCCCTCAGTAAGAATTTAATCCCAAACAACCATTTACTTCACATTAATTCTATGATATTGGGTGTTAACTCCATAAGACCATACAATAAATCTAAGATACATATATTATACAAGCTATTTCATAAGCACCATT